TTCAGCTGATCACCTGGTCACTGAAGTGCTCTCAGTGACAGGGAGGCGTTTATTTCATAGATTCAAAGAAATGAGAACAGCTGGATGTTTGACCAGCATCCGGTGGTAAGTGTGGGCCAGCAATTAGCCTGTTTCACCGAGTGCTTCTCTGATCTCCACTAATTAGTCAGACCTTCCCTGGAATTTTGTTTCTGGAGAAACGGAGCAGGATGGCCAGCAGAGGCGCTAATTACACTGTAGACGCCTCCAGGATCAGATGGATGGATGATTGTGGCAGATCCACATCTGTGCTGATAAACCCGCTGATCTAATCCGGGACACGCATGACGCTTTATTCTATAACACCGGGAGTTTGGCTGCTTTGTGTGAAGTGAGTAGTGACCAGTAGCGCCAGTGTCGGAGTTTTCCACGGCCGTGGCACCGACTGGCCATGCTGCGGGAACAGGGCGGATCTTAGGACCCGAGCTTTCATTCCTCGTCGAATAACAAAAAGTTACGGCGTGCTGTCGACGTGTGTGCCAAAGTGTTTGTGGTCAGCCCTTCGCTGCTGCTGCTGCGCTCCCGTTGCAGTGGTGCAGCAGCAGTCAGCTGCAGGGCTGCGTGTGTGTTCGTGTGCGCGATCTGCCGCTGGGTGTCTGCACTACTCTGTGGCTGCACTGTAAACACAACGAGGCGAGCGCAGGCTGATCCGCCCGTGCTTTCCGGAAACGATGGCGCAAAACACGGGACACACCTCGGGTCAGCAGCCACACGCCTAGCAGCCCGACGAGGAGCCCGTGTGTGAACAAAAGGCAGCGGAGAGAGCGACTCAAGCGGGCACCGCGCGTCCGAGCGGGACGACCCTCTGAATCCGGGGCTCGAGCACGCACCAGCGCTCTTTCTTTTTTGTGGGTAAGTGAAACTTTTCCTCTAAATCCTCGCGTGGTGTGTTCCCGTGTGGTTTCAGGGCAGTCGCCGTAGCGGAACACAGGGGGGAGTGCGCTGGTGTTGTTGTGCAATGCAGATGGAGCTCCCCGCACGTGTTTCAGTGATGCTCCGTGGATCAGAGAGGCTGGGTCACTGCAGTTTGTTCACTGAATTTTAAGCGCTTTTGCCCCCTCGAGCTGGAAGCTGCACCGAAACGCAGCGTTGCGTGATGTGGCGCTTATTTGTGCCACGCACCTGGCAGAACATGATGTGGCCTTACACCAGACACACCAGACACGACGTTTGTCAAGAATTTAACTGTGCAAACCAGAAAATGAGAGCACCTCTTCCAGGGTTTCTGTGGAGGGCCCAGTTTTAGGTCCACACTGGTGTGTCTCATGTGATCACAGGTTTCTCTCTGTGAGCCACGAGCTGTGATTATTTATTGATCAGAGAGCCAGCAGAAGATGAATCCTCGAAATGAACACGTGAGTTTGAAGTCATCATCTGTGGAATTTAAGGACTAAATTTCACTGCTTGTAGCCGCTCAAACAC